GTCTGCCTGTCTAGGTGCTTGGTTTTATACACCTGTGGCCATGGAAGTGATTGGAACACCTGAATTCAATTATTTGGATGGGTGAGTGAATACTTTTGGCAATAGTGTATATTACTGTTGTCATGCAGCATTAGCAGTGTGGCAGTTGCAGCCAATATGTGACAGTAATGGCTGCAAAAGGACCAATCCATCTAGACTTTCTTGTTTTCTTACCTTCTGAGAGCTTCAGAGCAAATAATCTTCACAGTGAACTCTTGCTAATTTGTTAATTTTTTTCACTGTTCATGATACATAAGGATCAATTACCTGATAATACTGATTTGGATGTACGAAAGTCAGATATGGGTGTCTTTCAAATTTGAATGTGAACCATCGAATCAGAAAGATCAGATTTGAGCAGTAAGGCTTGCAATGTGGCATGTACGTAGCTTTAGCCACATACATTTAGTAATGTATCAGTAGAAACGGCTCGGGTAGCACACGGCCAAATCACAACCTCAAGCCAGCTTCCTATCTAGTGGTCATTTACCCCATGGACCTACTTCCCCTCTCAGTAGTTCATGATTACACACCATTGTCTATACATACCCTTTTCTGTCCTTAAGAGTTAGTCCACTGCAATACAAAGACCAGCTTACTGGGAGTATGCCACATTTTCACCAGAAGACATGCTGGCTCTGGGCTCTGGTGTGTTCTGGAGGCTTTGTGGAGTTACTACATTACAATTTCCTTTGGTGCCTCACTCTTGAGCTACTTTAGAAGACCGTGAGAGTGATCTGTTGGTCCTTTGCAAGCAGTCAGTGCCTCATAGTAATGGACATACACACAGAGTGGCTAGTTTATTGTGTAAACCAACCTTGTTGGTCCACTTTGTGAGTCTAGGGACTATAGCTCACCTTTTTCCACTTAATTTGTTATTCTCCATTCTCTAACCAGTGTTCAGTTTCTGATCATAGAACCACTATTGGCGGGATATTTTTGGTTGGTGGACCACTCTTAATCCAGTAGTAGCACTGAGGTGTTTAAATAGTAGATACTAAGACAATAAGAAATTGGTTTATATCATGTATGTACAAAGGCAACTCGGTGTGGCTTCAGGTCCAACAGTAAAACTTATTTATTTGTTTAATTAGATCAAGCCATGGTACAGCTTTTCTCTCTTGGGTATTAGATTCTTACAGTATCTCCATGTACTTTGTAACAGTTTGGCCTCCACTGTTAGCATGTTTCACATGACGCTGTGGATTAGAGCAACCACTAAAAGCAAATGTAAAATATCTCAATCTGGCCAAAGTTACTGCGATTTTATTTTAACATGTTACGCTTCCCACAATTCTTTCTTATGTTCTACAACAGGGGTGTCCACACTTATCCACAACGGGCCAGTGTATCTGCAGGTTTTCACTCAAAACAAGCTGGAGCACACCTGATTCCCCTTGTTTAATCAGTTGGTTTCAGTCTTCAAACTGCTGATCAGGTGATCTCCTGCTATGATGGAATGAAAACCTGCAGCTACATCAGCCCTTTGTGTACAAGAGTGGACACCTTGTTCTACAAGTTCCAGAGCATAACGTGTACAACGTAAAAAGACACTTCTTGTTCTCAAGACACCATACTGGACACAACCTAAACTGTAATGCTGACATGACGTATGCCTATGTGTCCACTGTACAGTCTGAGTAAACTAACCATAGGCTAACCACAGTTCCCTAGAATAGACCGTGAAATGGAGAACAGAAATTTGAGCAAAAATTAAGAAACACCACACAGAAATGAAACATCCTGTGGCTGCCTTGAGCAATTCTTCCTAGCATCTTGGTCCACCTAGAAAAATGTCTGAGCAGGAAAGTTTTTTTTTACTTTTTTTAACCTTATTTCTTTTAAAGAGTAAATTTTGGGATTTAGACTGGCCATAATAATGAGTTAAAAAGTAATGAGTACAGAATACTCAATTATTGTACTATTATTATTATTATTATTATTACTATTATTATTACTATACTTTCATAAAGCAGTACAATGTATACAAGTAAACATACACTGTAGCTGTGTTCCAAAGCCTAGGCTGCATTTCTCGGATGCTACATCATAGCAGGCCGTTCCAAAGTGAAGCCCTCTTCGTATGCAGCCTAGAAATGCTGCCTATGTTCGGAGTGGTGCAAGGACGCATCAGATGTATCCTTCCAGGCCTTCAGTTACCCACAGTTCTCTGCGCATGAATCACGTGGAGGAAAAAACAGCACCACAAAAACGGCAGAAAACAAAGCTGTTGGAGCAGAGTTTATTTTAAAATTTAAGTTGTTCATACTTGAATTCTTCTTCGTTACCTTATAAAGTATAAAATCACTGATTAATTAAAGCATTCATCCATATATCGTATATTGCCCATATATCATATTTTATTCAGAAGTACTTGTATACATGTAGTTTACCGTACTACTTAAGAACATCGTTAGGACTGTTCGTTTGTGTGACCGATAGGCTACATATAGAATACTCTTCATAGGACTGTCCGAGCACCCGCACTCCCTCTGCTGCAGCCTAGTCTTTGGAACGCAGCTTTTATGGCCAAAGGTAGTTGACACCTGACCATCACACCTACATGAGCTTGTCTGACATCCTTTTCCAAAAACTTTAGGCATTCACATGGAGCGGACCACCAAACCCTGAAAACAGCCCCAGACCATTATCCCTCCTCCACCAAACTTTACTGTTGGCACTATGTATTCCAGTAGGTGGCATCTCCTTACATTTCCACAGAGTCCAGTGTGAGTCCAGTGTTGGTGTGTCTCACACCATTCCAGCTGATCCTTAGCACTGCGCATTCTTAGGCTTACTTTCAGAGGCAGCAGTGGTGGCAATTTTTACACGCTAAGTGCTTTAGCACTTGTCAGCCCGGCTCTGAGTTTCCACAGTCTATCGCTTCATGGCTGAGCTGTTGCTGCTCCTTTATGCTTCTTTTTCACAACAATAACACTTAGCACTTGGCATCCTAAGACAGTGCCACGTTTGAAGTCACTGAGCTCTTCAGTACAACTCATTGTACTGCCATGCAATTTGAATGAACGAGGTCATCAAAGTCAGAACTTTCTGGCAAAACATACAAGACTTTTTTCATCTAGGTTTATTATCAGTTTCTATTACTAAGTCTAACAGTGTATATATAAACACATTTTACTTATTTTATTTTGATTTTTAACAAAGAATCTTTTCACAGAAGTCAGAAGCCAGAAGTGAAGAACGTCCAAAAGAATGACCATTATTTCTCCTTCTATTGGACAGACTTCACTTTGGGCTTATGTGGCAACACTAATCCTGTTCCACTGAAAATATCCCTCACCAGCAGTAGACATATAATTTGGAATTATGACAAAGAAACAGTAGTATAAAGTTTTTAAAAGTACATATAAACAAAACCCTGCACCATCTTTTTTCCACTTGCCTACGTTCAGTGCTTACAATGGAGAATTTGATGATTCAAAGTAGGATGGCTCATAGGGGTTTTTAGAAAATGAACAAGTCAGACACATTTAGCTTAGAAACTATAGCGGGGCAGATCAAGTTGTGACTTATGACTTCTTTTTGCCATTTGTATGCAATATTCACTGTTTATAAGTTCATATGTGCCAAAAAGTGATGTTTTGCAAATCTTCTCCTTTAAATCTACACTGTATAATTATTCTAAACACAATATAATTGATAACAACTGTTTCCAAATGTTTGAACTGCAGTGTAGAGACTTACACTAGGGCATTATATTCATTTCTTGTTTGTTAGTCTTCCTTTAAAAATAAAATTGCTTTTAGCTGTTATGAATAATGACCAGATTACATAATAAATTCTTTAAAATAAAGGTTCTGAATGGTTCCTGGATTGGATGTATGGTTCCAGGAGGAAACTGTGTGTGGAGGTTGTCCACACTAACACTTCATTTACAAGAATGTCTTCAAGGAACATCCACTGCAACATTCTTTAAGAAACCAAAAGTGGTTTTTCTATGGCATCAATTCAAAGAATCTTTTGTGTCCCTCTTATTTATTACAGGTGTATTTTTAAGTATTCGAGCAGAAACCTAAAGGTTTCACAAACTTCTTCTGTGTTGACTCATTCACACCAAGCTGACACGTGCCACTGGTGTTGATTTTGAACGCAGAGCCAAAATGGTTTGGCTTCAAGCCTTTGTTGTGCCACCCCAAATGTGTTAAAGGCCTTCTTAGAGCAAATGGTTACTTGAAGTACTCTGGAACCACAAAGCAAAAAAGAAGTGGTAGGATAAATGCTCAGACAGCACATATCTAACTGTAACAACTGACGGTTTTTAATATTCCATTTTCTTTTAAAGTTTCACTCCAAGTTTGAAACGAGCTATAACTGATACAGGAAGTACAAGAGCCATAGAGATGATTATTTGTCTGAGAGTCACAAAATTCTTCTTAATGGTACTTGAACTTAAAAATCATCAACAGTCCTACCACTATACAGTCATAAAAAAGTTTAGGTGCAAAGGTTTTGGCATCCCTGGTCAAATCGCAAGTGAAAATAAGTTAATACATCCTCTACAAGTGCACAATTGCTGCTTATTTGCTGAACATATTGGGGAAATATTAATATATATAAAATGAGGCCTGTGCAAAAGATGTCACTGACTTGCTTTCACTTAGAAATTCACCAAAACATGTCATTTGTCCAGGGGTGTTCGAACTTCTACATACGACTGTACACTTCTTCAAATTTCAGTACAAGTCAAAAAGGATTATACATGAAATACATTCAGAAATTTAGAATCATTGCTTTCAATACTATAAAACCAATTTGCAGCAAAATGTATAAAATGACTCTAATATGCGAGTCCTGTGCAATTCCCTGCATTCATAGTTAACAGAAAACTAAGAAAGAGAAAAGAATGATCAACAGAGCTGTACATAATTTTATAATAACTGAGAAAGCAGCACAACATTGAGAATAAAGTTATAATAAGGTTAACATAAAGAATGGCTTGTATTTGAAAAGAGATGAACAAATGCTGCAGTAGATAACATCACAAACATTACTGTAAATGGGTAATTACAGTCTGCTGTTTATCATTTCATAGCTTTCAGTTTTTACCTTTTCAATTTCATATTGAATACAGTATGTAAAAAAACATTTTGTCTTGTTTATGATATTTTAAAATGAAACTGTACAAGTTATTATTGTGTATAAAACAACAAAATGCAGTGTTCCCTAGACAGTGGCGTCTCCCCAAGTATACTGACAACCACCACAGTATATTTTGTCCCATTTCAAAAAATTCCAAAATATTTTATATTTAGGCATGAACAAGGGCACATTTCATGTAACATGAGATGCTTGTGCTTTTATTCCAAGAAATACACACATTATTTGGACACTCAATTAAGAAAAAAGAATACTGAAAGGTGTGTGTGTGTGTACATATTTATATGACTGAGTGATTCCAAGGTTTTAAACAGCAATGCATGTTGTTGAATGTTAAGAGAAACAGAAGCCAATGAAAAAGACTTCCGTTTAATAACTTTACTGCCATCTTGTGGAATATTTTCATAGAAGCTGCAGCCTCTGTCAACTAACGGAAGAATGATGGGCTCACTGGAGAGAAGTGAATGTACCACCTTAAAGATTAGACAGGTAGGGAAAACTCTGCTTCATATTTCAGACAAAAAAAGTAGAACATTCACAACATCAAAACAGAGAGTTCACATTACTTATTAAAATAAAAAAAGAAAAAGGAAAAAAATAATAGCTGTCAAAACACAAATTTACAGTTTTGTTTCACTCCGAGAGTCACTTCAGGTCTTCACATCTCCATGTAGGCCAGTTGTGCTGCTGAATGAACACACAGTGCAGGACCTTTTAAAAACATAAAATGCAGCTGGGCTAGACTGGTTTTGTATTTGCTACTGAGGACTGTGGTTAAAACCACATACAGCAATCATCAACTCAGCTATCAAAACAAAAGGGCAATAAAACATGAGGATAGATAGTAAGTGGGGTCTGTCCTTCATAGAAACCATGAAAGCAGATGGGTGCCTTACTTTCCAAATCGTTTCTCACATTTACTATTCAAATAAAAAAGAATCTTTACTTGGACATACGGAATAAGATCGACACTTTCAAAATGACTAACAGACTTAAAGAAAGGGAGGGGGATTACCCACACGAACGTATGCAGACAAACACATTACCCACATGCTCAACACACTGTGGCTTCTACTCCGACAGCACAAACGCTAACAGACAAAGCCGATTAACTACTGTGTTTGAATTTCACAGGTGCACAATATGCCAAACACTATGACGACGTCTGAGTAGATGTCTCAACTCTCTGAAATGTTTCATAACTATTTTAAAGATTACTGTCAAAGTTAGCTTCCTCTTAAGGCTTAAGGCGTTAGCCCATATCCTTTTCATGTCCACTGAAGAAGTTTGAATGGTTTTATGTACCAAAAAAAGCCATAACTCATTTAAAACATGACCATTTTCCATTCTCTCATAGAGCCTCAGAATTAAACAAGCTGTTTCTTTAAGAGTGATATAAGTAAATGGCCTCTGTTCAGATTGGCAGCCCTGAACTGTGCTCCATTAAAAAGCATTCCAGGCTGAAACACTCCTTATAACTTCAGTGTGAATGGGTGGGGCTCAACTGCTGCAGGCTGATTAGGTGGATATATGTAAATGCATTCCTTTTTGTAATAAAACAAAAACACTGAATTAAAAACAAGCAGTTTTTGTGGCTTTATTTCTGTTTATGGACTGTATGTACTGGGGTGAACTGTACATTTTGCAGCTTTAACAAATGTTTACATGCTAAATCAATCTTTTATTTAAAAAATCCTATCCTATGCTTTTTCCTTGAGAACTCCCAGCTACTTCACATTTCTGTCCTATGCCAGCAATCAGTATATACTAAGTTGCTAGTTTATTAGGTAGGGCATCTTAGGAGAAGAAGCCCCCTAAGGTATTATGCCCTCCCCATTTATTTTTTCTCCTGATGATTTAATCTAATGCCAATGCCAAATCTAATCTTGACACACTTACAAAATTACTATGGTCTAATTTAATCTGAAATTTCATCTGGATGACTGCATTCCAGGGATATACTGCCCCAGAAACTTTCTGAGGTCAGATAATAGTGACATATGCATTTATATTAAGTTATACATGGCAAGTTTTTATTATTAAATTATGAAAGGGTTGTAGAAAGAGCAGTAGATTTGGATTTGTCGCTTTCTTTTCAAATGAAAACACCAAATATTTAATTTAGTAAGATTTACATCATAAAGACTCAAAGTTGTTTACTGGAGTTTTACTGACTTAATATAACAATCGTTAGAACCAGGCAACATTTTAGCTGTTTTAGCTGGAAATTAGATGTTCACACCTGATTTATTTTATGTCTAAAAATCATTTGCACTACAGATGCTGTAAATGCATTTCCATTGCAGGAGGTTTTAAACACTGCATACTTTTTGTTGGTGTATTTAATACACTGGATATTTTTGTTGGGAAGACTATTCTCTGCCCAGCAGTGACACCAAGGTATGTAAAAACCAAAGCAGCACTGCTGTGACTGACAAACTAATATCAGTGTAACACCCCCTAACATGCCACTACCATGTTGGTGTCACTGCTGTGCTGAAGTATTAATCAGTGGTGGTCTCATGGTCGTGGTTTTCTTCTGATATACAGGCTGAGGAGGGTTGATTAATTGTGCAGAAACAAATGGGCTCCAGTCAGTAATTGCAAACCTACAAAGTGCACCTATTCTGTATGTGTTTCTGATAAGATGGCCAGTGATTGTAGGTACAAGGTTTTTCCTCATTTTCTTGAAATAAAAGATTTTAATGTTGTGTGTAAACAATATACTGTTTACTCCCCAGTTTGTAGAGTCCATATGCTCCAAAACTGAATTCATCATTTCTGTGAGGTGACGAAAACCAACACATTTACATACATCTGCCTACCGGGCCTATAGCGGTTTAGCTCCACCCATTCATGCTGACATTATAAGGAGTTTCCCAGCCGAGACTTCCTTTTGAACAAGCCGCAATACAGGGCAGAGATACAACAGAGATCATTGACATATATTATTCTTAAAGGCACAGCATTAAAAACTGTCTGTTTAATTCTAACCGATAAAAAGAGGTTGGAAAATGGTCATGTGAAAATAAATCATGATGTGTTTGGTACATAAAACCACAAAAATGATGTAAGTGGACACTGGGAGAAAAAAATGATACATGATAAATGTCAGATGTGGGCCTTGGGTTAGTTTTGGCAGTAGTTTTGGAACAATGAACACACTAACACAAGCTCACCTGTGTACTGCCTATCCTCCTTACTCAGGTGTGCTTTCTCCAGAGGATACAGGAGGGGAACCATGTTGTGAGGGGTCAGATTTCTGTAGCACTCAATGAGCTCATCCAGGGACTGAAACCACTGTGGCTTCTCTCTGTTGATAGTCTTCAAAGATTGAAAAAAGGTGAGAGGAGTGCTTAAATCTTTCATGAAACAAACTCAAATGGCATTCTCTGTAAAAAGATTCTGAAAGACCAAAACAGCAATTGAGACCTGGGCTGAGATATACAGTGCAGTGCAAAAACAAGAAACCGAACATCATTTACCTAATTTCTAGTCAAAACAGCCATTACGTACAGGTTTTTTCATGAGATATGTCTGGGGTGATTAGACAGAAGGTAATTCACTTGTATAGGGAAAGGAAAAAACATATATACATACATAAAGTTTGTGGACATGCTTTTTAATTAGTGAATTCATCTGCATTAAGGTGCACTCACTGCTGACACAGGAATTCAAAGGCACACAGCTTGTATAGTCTCTCTAGAAAAGCACTGACAATAAAACAGGATGTTCTGGAGCATGAGCCTAAGGTCACCAAGTCCAATGCCAAGTGTAGGCTAGAGGGGTATGAAGCCCCTCCAGCATTGAGCTGTGGAGCAGTGAAACTGTGTTCTCTAGAGTGATGGAGCACCAATCAATACCTTTGGGATAAGCTGGAGTGGCGTTTGTGATCCAGAACTAATCATCCAACATCAATACCTGATCTCACTAGTGCTCCCGCCTCTGAATGCAATCAAATCCTCACAGCAGTGTTCCATCATAGCGTAAAGCCTTCCCCAAGATTAGAGACAGTTACTACAGCAGAGGGGGACAAACTTTTTAATACTCTTGATTTTGGAAGAAACATTGGATGAGCAGGTGTTCACAAACTTTTGACCATATAGTGTGCATGTGTACCTATATCTAAATGTAAGTATACACAATGCTGTGAAAAAGTAACTGCCCCCTTAGCAACTAAAGCATCCATGAACCAAATTCAATTGAATAATGTAAACATCAGTTAAACAGAACCTGTCTGGCAATGTGAAACAGACTAGAAGGTCTCAAAAAGCAGCACATGACACCACATTCTAAAGAGATTCAAATACAGATGCAAAACAAAGTCACTGCAGTCTACCAGCAGCCTGGAAATACAAAGCCAATACAAATACAAAGCCATTGCTGAGGCTCTGGGACGCCAGTGAACCACAGTGAGAGCCATTATCCAGACTGGGGTCCCATTACATCTGACGTAAAGCTAACATCGCATTCATCCGACATAAAAACGATTATACCAACAGGGAAACATAGTGGTGGTAGTGTGATGGGGCAGCTTTGCTTCTGCCAGACCTGGACAACTTGTCATGAGTGATGGGACCATGAATTCTGCTCTCTATCAGAAATTCCTGAAGGAGAATGTCCGCCTGTCAGTTTGTGACCTAAAGCTCAGGCATAGTTGGGTTATGCAGCGGGACAATGATCCAAAGCACACAAGCAAGTCCACCTCTGAATGGCCTAAAAGAAACAAAATTAAGGTTCTGGAGGAACTGAGTCAAAGTCCTGACATGAATCCCATTGAGATGCTGTGGCAAGACCCTGAACAGGTTTCACTGAAAACCCTCAAAAGTAGCCAAATTAAAACAATTCTGCAAAGAGTGGGCCAGAATTCCTCAACAGTGATGTAAAAGACTCATTGCAAATGTTTGATTGCAGATATTACTGCCAAGGGTAGCACAACCAGTTATTAGTTTTTTTTTGTTCGTTTTTTTTTGCTTTGCTTTTTTATATTCAATAAATGTAATGATCATGTAAAAGCTGCATTTTTATTTACTCATGTTGTCTTATATTAAAATTAGTTGGATGAGCTGAACTATTTAAAGATGACAAATTAACAAAAACAGAAAAAGTGAGAAAAGGAAATGACAAAAAAATAAGAAAATTTGCAAATCAATCTAAGAAGCTGCTGTTGGTGTTCTCAGAACAGCTGAACGGCCCCCACCAGAGTTCAGACCTCAACATCACTGTATGTGTTCGGATTATCTGGATCATTAGAAGCAGAAAATGCAACCAACTTCTAAGACTGAACTGGAACATCATTCCTGCAGAATTCTTTAAAAAATTGAAAGCTGCCAAAAAGAATTGATGCTGTAATAAAGGCAAAGGGTGAGCACATGAAAAATATATGTATTTATTTGTTGAAGCTTCTGTTTAACGTCTGTTAAATATAAGTTTTCTTCTTTTTCCCTGATGTTGAAAATTAAACTCGTACTTAACGGCTGTTTTGACTGGAAATGAAATAAGTGAAGGGTGGTCTCTGACTACATTAATTGTAAAATCAAATATAGTATAATATTTTTGTCAGCAATCTTTGTTTAAAAAAATAATAAAACCTCAAACTCATTTTTTTGTTAAAAAATCGCGCAGCCTCAGTCTAAATCTGATCCTTGGCTTACACTATATTGGCAGGTAAGCAGAAATGACACTCATGAACAGCATCAAATTTAGAAAACACTCAAGACAACAAGAAAATGTAGACTTGCTAGCTTGCTAGCATAACATAGCTTGCTGCCATAATCGGTAGATAACTCTGTATATAAAATACTCTTGCCCTTCTCCATGTCTTGGTCTGTAACTTTTTGGACCAAATCTTGCTTGAAAAAGAAACTTCTTTTTCAGTGTGGGGGTTTCCCAATCTACTAAAAAATTCAGATCTCTGCTTAGTTCCTCCTTAACTTGAGCACACATCCTCTTTAATTCTATACACTAGGCCTGCATGTTTAATACACTCTTTATGTGTGTAAGGTCAGTGCAATGGCATGCTGACAGACCACACTTTCACAAACAACCACAGACATGAAAGAATAACTCCTTGGCTTTTTGTATCTGTAGTCTGTGACTCAAATACTCATACTGCGTGATCTCTCTGATAAGCTAATGTCAGTGTGGCCTCACAAGATAGTTATGTTATATTAATATAAGTTACGGCAAATTTCAACGAATTGTAACAGTAAAAATAAGGCAAAGAAATAACAAACAGTTTTGAAAACTGTTGAGGTTGTGCTTTAGAGTATGTAACTAAACTAATATAACAAATCAAATTTTACTTTACATAATGGAGACTGAATAGATGCTTTGAGTCATCTTAATGGATCCCTAAAACAAATCTGTAGAGAAAAGGTTTCCTGAAAGTAGGGGTGAGCAACATCATGATATTTTACCGTTAATGTGACAAACTGCTAACAATATGCTTTTCTAAGGATTGACTACTGCATGTTTCATTACAAAATAAGAAGAATACGTCTTTCTTGGATTAAGAACAATGCTGAATAAAAACCAGACATGCAACAGTGATGATGCATCATGTCTGACTTGTGAATTGTGAAAATGTCTTTAGGTATTATAAGCCATTTTTACCATATCACCAGCCCTACTTGAAAGCATTGTGGCCTTTTTATATACTTAAAAAGCTCCAGTCTGGTTAAAACTGCAAGTTCCAGAAGCACTGAAGGTTTTTTTATTATTATTATTATTATTATTATTATTATTATTTATTTTAATAATAAAGGTGTACTGTGCAAAAAAGTGTTCAAGTTTTAAATGTTTCAAATATTGTAAGTTCAGATAAACCTTTAAACTGTACTTCGTTTTATCTGTACAGTATCTGCAGTACGACTACAACCTTTCAAAGCTGAGGTTCTAAACAATTCATATGTAGGTTTCTGGGCCAGACATCAGTGCTGTTTCATTATATTACGCCAATATTCTGACAGAGCAGCTTTGAATGTGCGGAAACTGGGGTTTAGCCATTTCATCTTGATTTATCTCACAAATATGAACAATTTGAAATATGTAAAATCTCTGCCTTTAAGAAACCCCGCAGCACATCAGAGGAATCTGACCATCTATACAAAGAAAAAAAGAAAATGGACATCTGGACAGAAGACTTAAGTAGCCATATTAAGGTATAAACTACCTGAGAACACAGAAAATACATAAATGGCAATCATAATCAGACACTTAGTTTCACTTAGTTGAATTGGACTAACAGACTACTAGATTAATCTGGTTTCCAGACTTATAACACTGTAACACTCATAATAATAACACTGATGGTGGTCATACTATTGCCTTTATACATGAAATGTATCCACATGCTGTATTCAGTTTTCACTGTGTATCCACTTTTTAGATGGCTCAGTCCTTACAAATTTTCTCAGTGATAAAATGTGGAATATTCACATTTGTCTTAACATTGTCCAACAAACACTGCCCGCTTACCTCAGCAGCCCAGCCTTCAGATGAATGCTCAATCCTGTAAGTGTGGACAAATGGAGTTTTCCTTGGTGGAAAGAAACACATGTACGTTAAGTTACATTTGACTCACCGTTTTCATAATTCAAATGTATTTTCCACACAAAACTCTTTTCCACTGCATTTCAAAACCGAAATCCATGTGACTTTCTACTCTTACGATAAATCACACAGTTTCTCTTAAATGCTGTAACTGTGGTGGAGAAGCGAGGGATTTTAGCCGCTTAGGGTTGACTGGCGCGTCGAGAACTTTCTAAAAGGGAAAAAATACATTTCTTAATCATATTTTTCCTCGGTTAACGTCTAAGGCGGTTACAATATTTTAAAACAAATGTACTGTGATCTATCTTTCACATTTTGGAGTGAGGAGTATTTTTAGTTCTTCCCCAAAAGAGACCCAATCCCATGAAAACATGCTAGGTTTAATTTTACCTCACGCAGAGGCACAGAGCTCCAGGCACACTCTGGCTGTCTCTCAGGAGGAAGCTTCCATCTTTGCCATACTTTTCCAGCAAGCGCTCCGTGTCCTCTTTGCCGATTTGTCCGTAGTACATACATCCGAGCATTTTCGCCAAAGGGGGGAGATTCTTCTGCTGGATATCAGGGGGTCTTTTTTAGCGAATATGAGCTGAAGAAAGAGGCGTGGCAGAGAAAGCTGCACTTTCACACCGTTGACTTTGGCGAGCTGGTGGCAGAGCATGATTTACAAGAAAACGTCACGCCACAAACACGAGCAACAGTGTATGAAGAAGACCTCAGAATAAGGAACAGTCTGAATGAACTTACTGGAATACAGGGTCTGCAGGCCAAAGGCAAGAGCAAGGCCTCGTTTAAAAGACAAACTAGTCGGGTGTAAATAAGACATTGTTAAAAAAAAAAAAAGGTAATAGTTCTGGTTTAGGCAGCTTTAGGAATCAAATGCAGTACATGCCCGTGAGCTGTTGGGCCTTGTCCATTTTAGGCCATTAGACCATGACCTGATACCAACCTATTAAGAAAACACAGAATATCATTAGTGACTGCTGGACACCACCAGGAACAAGCAAAACCTTTTAAGTCTCCTTTAACATCTTTTGTCTTTGGGGTTAATTTCACTCTCTGGGAAATATCAAAGTTCTGGTGGGAGTTTTGTTTTCCCCTCCGCCATGTTGTGTGAAGTGTAAGTGGTTCTCACACTACTGCACTTGTGGTTATGTTAGGTTGGGGCCCTAAAGCTGAGGGAAGTTTTATTTGAACATTATAAAATTGCATGTTATATTGACCTCAATATCATGCAAAACAACCAAAACAAATGTGTGTAAAATGTGGGTATTTCTAACGTTTTATGTGGCTAAAACAGCCTGAGCTCAAATTGACCCCAAAGAACACCAGTGCATATAAAAATGTGTACAGTCCATTGAAATCATTTCAATATGTTAATTTTGTGTTTACCCAGTTCTCCCCACTAAATTAGGAAAAGTAAAAATTAAGCAAAAAATGATGTTGGCCATTTATTTAGAGCCATTAGACATTGAATGGACAATAGGAGAGCTAATGTTTTCTATTTTGTGAGCAGGGTGATGTCAGCCAGATTGTCCATTTATAATATTTTGACCCCATCTGACCTGACTGTGACACTCCACTGGCAAATGCAAGTTGCCTGCACCCAAACTGTTGGCAAATATAATATAAATGTATTTTTTTTTAAATTACAAGAAATAAATGGGGAACAAGCGTTGAAGGGTCTCAGCTGCGTGAGAGGCCCTGCCACAAGAAACGTTACACCCCTGCAAGCCACAATTGCAAACAAATCAAAACAGAAACCTCTCTCTCACCAGACTTTGCTTTTTTCTTGAGCAAAGTGTCACGCTGAGAATGGATGGGAAAAGCGTACAAGTGCTCCACAGGAAACACCAAGATGTTGACCAAAGTTCATAAGCTCATACGCTCTATCACGCAGTGTTTACTCTACTTCATGCACTCTAAGCAGTATAGCTTAGAGAGGCAACTTACAGGTTTTATTTGATTTCCCCAAAGTAATGTACCGAAAGAATATTAGTGTACTGACCATAATTTATTTGCACCACTGTCTGACCCCTCTTCATCCGTTAAAACTAGTCAGGCTGTTTTTTTACTCTGCCATTATGACTGATGATGTATGTACACTACCATTAAAAATGTTTTGGAATAACTTGTTATATTAGTTATTGCTGGTTTTCTTCAACATAACTAATACAATGTAGAATTAACTGTAATCTAGACACCAGAGGTATTTTAAAATGTCCTAATCAACATTTCATGTTTCTTGGGAAACCTCTTTCAAATACAAGGCGTTCTGGATATTAATTTCATTATAACTTCATTCTCAGTGTTATACAGCTCTCTTAGTCATTAAGGAATCAAATACAGCTCTGTTCATCATTCCAGACAAAATCTAACATTTCTTCAGTTTTTACAGCTTCCTACAATTCATATTAGAACAATTTTGTACAAATATCTTTAACAAAATATATTGTTGAAGACAGTGATCACAATCTTTTGAACAATAAATGAGCTCTGATTGGCTGTCTTGTACTGCATCTCCTTCAGAAAGCAGCCCAGGCAGAAACACTTCAGCGTGAATGGGCAGGGCTAAACTGCTGTAGGCTGAATAGGCCGATATGGCAGCGTCTTCCTGTCTCGTCTCTGCCTCCTGTCATCTCCTAGCCGTGTGGTCTTGATATGGTTTTTGTTTTGATTCCTGTCTCCTCCCTAGTCCCACCTTGTCATTAGGGATCCTACCTGTGTGTAGTCTGTTACCTCTCTTTTCCCAGCTGTTTCTAGTCTTCTTGTATAAGTAGACCTTGTTTCAGTGCTCCTTTGTCTATACTTACATCTTCCTTGATGTTTATGGCTGCTATTTGTTTACCGTTTGTTTTTGGATTGTTTCTATGTTCTTTGTATTATTTTGTTTTGCCTCCCTCTCATGCATATACACCGATCAGGCATAACATTTTGACCACCTCCTTGTTTCTACGCTCATTATCCATTTTATCAGCTCCACTTACTATAGAGGTGCACTTTGTAGTTCTACAGTTACAGACTGTAGTCCATCTGTTTCACTGCATACTTTGTTAGCCCTCTTTTACTCTGTTCTTCAGTGGTCAGGACCCCCATGGACCCTCACAGAGCAGGTACTATTTGGGTGGTGGATCATTCTCAGCACTGCAGTAACACTGACGTGGTGGTGGTGTGTTAGTGTGTGTTGCGCTGGTCTGAGTGGATCAGACACAGCAGTGCTGCTGGAGTTTTGAAACACCTCAGTGTCACTGCTCAACTGAAAATAGTCCACCTACCAAAAATATCCAGCCAACAGCGTCCTGTCGGCAGCATCCTGTGACCACTGATGAAGGACTAGAGGATGACCAACACAAACTGTGCAGCAGCAGATGAGCTATCGTCTCTGGACTGACAAGGTAGGAGTGTCTAAAAGAGTGGACAGTGAGTGGACACAGTGTTTAAAAACTCCAGCAGCACTGCTGTGTCTGATGCACTTGTACCAGCACAACACACACTAATGCACCACCACCACGTCAATATTACTGCAGTGCTGAGAATGATCCACCACCCAAATAGTACCTGCTCTGTGAGGGTCCATGGGGGTCCTGACCACTGAAGAACAGAGTAAAAGGGGGCTAACAAAGTATGAAGAGAAACAGATGTACTACAATGTAACTGTGCTGCTGGGAAGAATCCACTTCAAGAATCCTTGAATTCAAGGTAAACGCTATTTACTTTTTCTCTTCTCTTACTTGCTCGTGCCATATGTAGTTCAGAGGATGAGTGAATTTTCCATTCCACCTTAAATGGCGCAGCAGTTTTCTGGTGCCTGATGCGCCACAATGTAACTGCTACATCTTTTAAGGTGGAACAGAAAATTCAACTAATTTCTAATTTGGTTCCAGGGAGTCACTGGTGGGTACAACATCCAACTGATGCATTCTTTGCAAGTAGAACTGTAACTGAAATGGCTGCCCCTCCTTTTAGCTACACAGAGTTCATACTGTGTTCTAAATCACATCCGACTTGTGTGTGTGACCTGAATTCAGGCCTGAAAGCGGGTTAAGAAAGGTTTTGGGCATGTATTTGTGGAAATGGTTTGGAAGACTATTTACCTTCTAATTACTTCCAGTGTTTGTTAGCAACATTAGCCTCGTAGCACCAGTTCAAAAACTAAAGAAGCTAAATTTTAACACCAAACATGTCTTCATGGCTGATCGACTGCATTTGTGGTATAAGGAATATCTTGATCATAATCAAATTAGTTTTTACACCAAACTGTTCCTTTAACAGTCCTTTTTTATAGTGCTGACATGAGTTCAGATAGCAAGGATAACAGCTAAGTGGAGTCATGTACATGGTATTAGTCTTGATACTTGGATTACTCTCCTCAAGTGGAATAAGAAACAATGGCCTTCATAGTTCAAGGGCAGCCAGGTCAAAGCAAGCCAGGTTTTCTTGCAAGAAGTCCCATATATGTTTATAACTTCTAGAGACAACTAACATGTATTTAAAAAGTACATATAAAACTATGGAGACAGGATTTTACATGCAATACTCAAGTCAAAGCAGGAATGGCTCCATATATTCCATTAAAATGACTTCTTTTCAGTTGCGCTACAAACCACGCATGGAGCTAAAGCTGTCCTCACATTTTATGGTGCGAACACATACTGTTTCCTGTGTGATGGCTCTTTGTTTTTTTGTCTTATTTTCAGGATGTGGTAAAAACACACACACGGGACTAAACTTTCATTCCAACTACATACACTCAAAGACAAGCACCACTGTATCCTTACTGTACACAGCTCTAGCTCTTTCAGTTTCACACCAACAGCTATATGTTCAAGTCGTAACGATGATGATCACAGCACTGATGAAAGAGATGATGACGTTATGTAAGAGTTTCATTAGCCTTAATAAGACCCCATATTAATGTGCAATGTACTGCAATATGTTGTTGGTACAATACAAAATCTGAATATATCATAAAATATTTCCAGGATAGACAAGAAGAACACACTTGCAGGTAGTATTTCCCCATGATCGTTTATTTCTGTTTTCTCAGCAACTCATGGTGTTAGCCACCAGCCAACACTTCAAATATTTAGGAATGGAAAAGAGTATGTCTTCCACAAATGTGACAGTGAGCAAAAATGTTGGCAAATACATAATGTAACCTCCTCACAGTTCAACAATTTCACAAAATGTTCATGACATTTAAAATGAAATCATGACATTTAACCCACCATGTTTGTAAAGATTTGTAAAAAGTATATTCATGTTTGTTTGAGTTAGTAGTTTGCATAGTTACTCCACTCCATACTTGACAGCAAATACCAGATTAAGACTAATCTTCTACAGACACAGGATAGGAAAATGTCTGATGTTCAAAAGTGACAGTCAAATGTTCAGTCTCTCATCAAAGCTTAAACAGTTTACCTAAATTCCAGGAGTTACCAAAAGACATATTTCAGACATGAAGCTTCATCATCTAAAGCTTTATTTGAGCTGCATTCATGTAGGGCAGTTTCTGTAATATATTTTATAAGAGAATTGACTGACCAATTAGTACATGATAAAGCATGAGGCCAAAGTCCAGCCCCACATACTATGCTATGCATACTATGTATGTACATGAATGTATTAATAATGGAGGTGTACTATTTTGATGTACTATTTTGTATGGTAGTATGCAGTTTTGGATGCAGCCTCTGAGTAATTTCCCAAATGACCACAGATAGCCCAGACTGAAAGGTCACAGCCAGTCAGCTCTATAATTACTGGCACTCTTTATAAAGATTAGTCATGAAAAATGTCTTTGTGGTTGATAAACCACATTGAAAAATGCGAAAGATTAACTGAAGTAAATTTAGTTTAAGTAAACTGAAATGAGCATGCAAGTCTATTTTGCCCCCACAAACAGTGGGGATGGTTAAAGAGGAAAAAAAAAATCTCCAAAGGTCATGACTGGAGATTTGCAGAACATTTGAGGATTTTGGGTTTATCATGGCACCAGAACGACAATATGATGCCACCAAGCCAACAAAGTTTTGAAAGGCATGCCAGAAAAAGCTACATATATAAGCACCTGGAGTTCTCAAGACACTACTTAAACTTTGAATGGAACTGGTTTCTATGGTTAGATGAGACAAAAATAGACCAGGCTGTCCACTCCAGAATTATTACTGTCATACTTGTTTGTGCACATTCATACTGCATTAAAATCACAGATCTCGCTTGCAATGACTTAAATTACAGAAGCTCCCCAGGGAAAAGTAATCCAGCTCAAAGTGGACATAAGATGAAGCTGGTAAAAAAATAAATATGTACCCATGACTTAACGATGTACATTGTCACAAGGTAAGAAAGAGTTAAGTGCTGGAATTCATACAGTACACAAATGCATATTTTAAAACAGTGGTCACTCCTGCAAAGTTTACTTCTCCTGCAAAGTTTACTTCTAATCTGAATCTACCATGCAACCCTCCCCTTACCTAACACTAATGCTGCTGATCCAGCCAATCAAGCACTTCTGAAGAAGCGAATTAGCTGAAGCATGTGTGACGAGCTGTGGTTGAAACTAGACTCCACAAGAAGATGGATCTCCAGGACAAGGGTTGGTAAGCACTGCTCATAAAAGATCACACTTCACACCAATGTGTGTGATTGATGTTCAGAGCTATGGTAAGTAGATTTCCTGTAGTACAGGGGTACACAAATCTGGCCCTAGAGAGGGGGTGGCATCTAGTACAGTTTGGTTATGTTCCTGCTCAAACATACCTGATTCAACTCATCTGTCAATTGCCAGGTTTAGAAAGTGTGTTTGAATAGAGGAACCACCGAACTATGCTGGACACCAGTCCTTCGGGACCGAGTTGTGCACCCCTGCTGGAGTGAATCAAAAACATGCTCCTAAATTTTAAACCCCGTGTAATATTTCACTGAACTAAAGTTAGAACCTCACCCTTAAAATGTAAAGAAAGTGCATAATAGTGTTTCATGTTGCTTTAAAAACCATTATTGTTTAAAAAAAAAAATGTAATTAAGTGCAGCACTTTTAGGCAATGCAACCTATTTATGTCCAACAACTAAATTTAGCATGATCAGTAAAAATGCCAGAGCTTGTTCTGATTTGTGCTCAGGCAAATTCAGACAAAATAGAGACCTAAGTGAATGTAAAATTTTCAGATAATGACATTGATGGGCTAACTGGCAAACATCTGAAAGATTTGGTCTCAAATGTTACTAAAACTGCCTCCTAATTGATACAGGTTTTAAAAACTCCAGTCCAGAAGTAATGAATCCAGATTATAGCTGTAAGTACCTCACATAAGCCTTGTGTTTTTCGTGAAGTTTGTTCATACCCTACTTAAAGTGCATAGATCCTAAAAGCTTCCTTTTTCATCAGAAAAAGTACATTTAAGATCAGCTTGGTAGTACATACTAGATGACATTAATCCTGTTTGCTTTGGTCAATCAAATACTTAAACCTTTTCTCAAGCTCCTGGACCAGATTTTTTTTCGCTTTCTCCAGGCTGTCTTGCCAGTCTAAAGATTAAACAAACCACAGGTCAGTTACGGAGATGTACACTAGCATTTAAAAGGAAACAGAAATCAAATGTTTGGGGTCACTGTTTTTTAATCATGATTCTATTATGAAGCTACGACTCTTATTGTTTAACTTTTAACAACATTGTGGTTTTCTCCAAAACCAGAAATATATAAAAAAAAAATCTTGAAATACACTGTATGGCCAAAAGTATGTGTACACCCACCCATCACACCTATATGAGCTTGTTGGACATCCCATTCCAAAACCATTGGCGTTAGTATGGTTATCCCCCTTTGCAGCTATAACAGCCTCCACTCTTCTGGGAAGGTTTCTACAAGATTTTGGAGTGTGTCTGTGGGAATTTTTGCCCATTCATCCATAAGAGTATTTATGAGGTCAGACACTGATGTTGGATGAGAGGGCCTGACTCGCAGTCGACAATCCAATTCATCCTAAAGGTGTTCAGTGGGAGTGAGGTCAGGGCTCTGTGTAGGCCACTGAAGTTCCTCCACACCAAACTCGTCAAACCATGTCTTTATGAACCTCGCTGGGGCACAGTCATGCTGAAACAAGAAATGTCCTTCCCCAAACTGTTGCCACAATGTAGGAAGCATATAATTCTCTAAAAGTTCTTTGTATGCTGTGATATTAACATTACTCTTCACTGGAACTAAGAGGCCTAGCCCAAACCCCAAACTTACGCTTGTCTGCAGCTGTTCGTCCATGGAAACAGATTACATGAAGCTTCTGACGCACAGTTCTTACGCTGCTGTTGCTTCCAGTGGACAGGCAATTTTTATGTGCTTTAGCACTCCGCCACCACACTGTGTGAGTTTACGTGGTCGTGGTTAAGCTGTTGTTTCTCCTAGACGCTTCCATTTCACAAAAATAGCACTTACAGTTGATCAGGGCAGATCTAGCAGATCAGAAATTTCACAAGCTGACTTGTGGCAAAGATGGAATCCTATGACAGTGCCATGTTTAAAGTATCTGAGCTCATCAGTATGACTCATTCTACTGCCAATGTTTGTCTATGGAGATTACATGGTTATGTGCTTGATTTTATGCACCTGTTAGCAATGGGTGTGGTTGAAACACCTGAATTTAATAATTAGGAGGAGTATCCACATACTTTTGGACATTTAGTGTACTATCTGGTCTTTCTACACTGCAGAAGTTATTATTAAGTAAAATAACAACAATTATTAACAATTATAACTTTTTAATGCTACTGTACATATTTGTACAGGAGAGAGACAGAAAGAGAGGGAGAGAGGGAGAGAGGGAGAGAGAGAGAGAGAGAGAGAGAGAGAGAGAGAGAGGGAGAAAGCATATATATTTGAGAATGTGTTGTTCTTACCTGGATGACTACAGGACAGTTCAACAGAAAAAGTAGCTTTAGATCCTTGTGCCTCCTCCGTATCCTCAAACACAGGCTGCTGCAGATTTCTTTGTTTAAACCAGTCGTCTAAGCAGTTTCTTAACGACGGACAGTTTGGTTCTGCGAAACGACAATAAGACATTAAAAAATACTATTGTGTAATTAAATGTTACGACAGCATATAGTGCTTGTTTAAGCACTTTACAGCCTGTCAGCATGATTTCTGTTTTTAATCAGAAAGTCATAAAACAAACACACACTTAGCACCACCACATTTAGTTTATGACTCCAACGCATTTGGTTTCCCACAAGCCACTGCATGTGTTTATAACTGTGTCATCTGTGTAATTCTGACCTGTCTCCTCCCCCAGCAGGCCCAGAATGCGTTTGCTGAGAAGATTGCGATTTTCCTTTTTGTTCCTTTGGCTTTTGCTAGCCATGGTGAAGTCTTTGAATCGGAGGTCAACAGAGATCTTGTGCTGGTTAGGTCTGAGAGAGAAAGCGAGATCTTTCTGACAAGCATTTCTCAGTAAGGTATTAATCTGAAATTCAGTTTCCTCAGTGCTGCTGGATGCAGGCAAAGCCTCATGGCCGAAGAGCAAGGGCAGAGTGCAAATGGCTTTCTGCAGAGCATCTTGTCTTGCCTCGGCCTCTGAGGAGCCTGTGGAAAAGACATGTAGACACTTATCAAACATGATCTAGCTTTTCAGTTGAAGACAACATATGAATCTGTTCTGTGTTTCAATGTACATAAAATAAAATATATTAACTCAGATATATTAGAGTGACAAATCAAAAGAAAAACTTTCATAAGGCACCATTAATTCATAAGGTTTGTCCAGACCTGGCAAGTTACAGTTGTAACCAGAACCAGTCTTAAAAGTGGAGGCTCTTGTTAGTTACTGGGCATGTTATTACGTTATTAGGTTTTATTACATTTCTGACCAAGTTAAGTGCAAAATCTTACAATTACATTTTATGTAATTGTAATTGTTATTACATAAGTGGGACTTTTTAGAATATTGGGTTCTACGTCTTTGAGTGACTTCGATAGAGGGTTCATTATTGGAGCAAAGACGGCAGGAGCTTCAGTCATGTAGTCAAAGACTATCTACTAGCTAGTTTTTCAGTACAAACAGTCACTAAAGTGGCAGCTGCATTTACATCTATAGGAAAGACAACCGTACACGGTGTTGGAAATTGTGGTCACAAATGCCCATTCAATGACTCTGATGCTCGCCCATTAGTGCGATATGTAAGGAAAAATAAGCAACTGTTACTCAGTTGACTGAGAATGTCAATGCAGAACATGATCAGACTGTGTCAGCACTAATAGTCTGTGCACAACCACATAGAGAAAGATATCAGGGTTGCAGTTAGTTAAACCCTCGTCACAAAGACAAATGACCATTTGAGAATTCAGTGGTGCAAAAAACACTGACATTGGTCTACAGAGATGTGGAAAAAAGTGATATGGTCAGATTAGTCATCTTTCGTCCTATTCTCTACAATTGGGTGAGTGCATATGTGGCATATACAATGAGAACTCTACAGGCCTAAATGCTTGGGGAGGGGGTTACAGAGCCTCAATCCGCAGGGCACAAAGGGTCACAGGTGATGAGAATAAAAGTGATGTAAATCAAATGCTCTGGCCTTCGCAGTCACCTGATCCCAATCCAGTTAAACACTGATGGGAGATTCTGGACTGGCGTGTAACACAGCGCTCTCCACCTCAATCATCAAAACACCAACTTAAATAATACCTTTTGGAAGAACAGTGTTCCATCACTTGAGCACAGTTCCAGACTATAGAATCTATGCCAAGACACACTGAAGCTGTTCTGTTAGCTCATGGTGGCCCAACACCTTACCAAGGCTCTTTATATGGTTCTTTCCTTTAATTTGTCACCCGTTTTTTTAATACTTAGATTTGTAGTGCATGTGGCACTACACAGCCAACCTACTAACCTTGTCCATCACAGACTAAACTGTATGTTATCTCTGTAAGGGAGCAGCAGAAATTCTTATCACCCTTAATGTCTTCCTTAGGATGAGTGAGAGACCTTCTGTGAAAAATCTTGCTTCACCAACATAGTTGCCTTACTTTCATCTTACAGAGAGAGACACACAAATGACGTTAGTGCAATAGCCATACTCTTTTAAAAATAATGGTTATTTAAAAAAATAGACAGAATCAAGGAACAAAGGGATACCCTGTGTCTTGCTGGAAAACTCCCAACGCACGCCCGAGTAAATGATAGGTTTTGCGTATGGCATCTTTCTTAGAGGTGTAGACATTGCTGTTCTTAAAGGTGAATTTATCCAAGTTGATGTTCATTGTGACGCTGAAATTCTGATCAGTGCTAATGCGCCCTACTGTTACAGATGGCGGCTTGAGATGATACACGGCCAGAAGGGATTTGATCTCTGCAAAACATACATATGTACACAGTATAAGTCAGTCCTGTGGACCCTATATTTTTGTGTTTTCCCTGATCTCTCGCACTTGACCTACCGGAACTTGCTAATGGTTTCTAATGTTGGGTCCACAGCACTGGAATTGGGAATCCCTGACTTACACCAACCTTACTGCTTTTATTTAAAAAACTACACTTATTACACACTTATTAAAGTCAATAGCTTTCCATAATGTGTGGAAAAATGATAATGGAGTCATCCTCTTTGACTATGCAGCACTTTCGGGGGATAATTTTTTAAGAGCACATTCTCATGCAAAGCAGATCTGTGTGTACCTGTATGATCCTCCAAGTCCACTTCTCTCGGTATGAGCGAAGGGTTGGAGTTCCGACTCTCTGTTGTCAGTCCGATGGTGCAGTCTGAGGGTGTTGTGGGTGGAGGCTGCACAACAGCAACACTGTCCTTCTCTTTTCCTTGTTGCTGTGTTTGTGTGCTGGATACTGCAGAATTACAGCAAGGTCAACACAAACAACTTTAGTGGGAACAGGAATGAACTCCCTCTCTAGGTTTCCATTTTAAATGTTTTTATGAAATTTTAAGCCTGCAGTTCATTTCCATCACATACGGCATTTTCACTCAGGCCTATCTGTAAATGCACATTGTCAGAAGTGGTATGACTGGCCAAACTATACTCAGTCACAACACCTTCAATGAGGTTTAAAGAGTATAAACTTTTTCATGACAATTATATCTTTATCTACAGATGTAAGGTGCCCATGACAATCATTTCCCAGCTAACAGGGAGTGCCCTTTTAACATTAGTGGTCATTCTATTTTGATCCGCTATTTAACAATATGTGCAAAACTTTAGAAGACTTACTGGCAAGGAAAAAGTCTGTTATATGTTTAGAAATGATGTATAAGTTACAACATGCAGAAGACATTAAGCAGACTTACAATACATTTAGTATGTAGTTTTAAATGTTTAAGACGGGATTAACAGTGGGTAGGATTTAGTTAGTAGGATTTGTGCTAAAGAGAGGGTGTAGACTCCTAAAGAACTGAAAAATGACAGCTAGCTACATGCTCAGCCTCTTTAAACTCAACTAGCGTAAGGCTTGTAGTGGCCGCCTTTAAAGTTGTTACAGAAAACTTATCTTAATTGCTGAAGACAGCAATTCTAATGTGTCACTTCATGAAGTAAAAATGTGAGCAAACAGAGTGACTTTGGTTTATTTATTAATGAATTCATGAAATGTTGTTGTAAATTAGCTTCCTTTTAACCAAGAGTAACTTTTCCCAGCATCATTGTTAACTTAAATGAAAACCTATTCATTAGATGAAAGGTAGGTATGGTTGTGAAAATGGCCTGTTGACATATAGCACTGTTTCTTAATCCTGCTCCTTGGAACTTACAGCACTGCACAGTTTCAACTATTCCCTTCCACAACACACCTGATCGAGTGCATCAGCTGATTAATGAGCCCTTCATTTGCTGTATCAGTTATGTATAGGTAGGACACAGTACAGGGCAGTGGTGGTGATAGGAACCAGACATCTGAAGAGTTTAATGCCTCTAAAAGCTCCCTTACAGAACGTTATTAGGCTACATGAGAGTTAGGAATACACTGCCTGATGCCAGAGACATCGTCACAATAGTTTTGAGAAAGTTTTGGCCTAAAACATACTTTTAAGTCATTTAAATTCATGGCAAAATTGGTACATGAGGTTGTACAGTAACACTGTATGTCAAAATAGTCCCCAAAGAAATATTTCAGATTTACCACTGTTTTACTATCATCAACATTACGTATAAAAACTCAGACACGTGTAGCTTCATTGGTGGTTTTGGATAGTTAATAAAATGGCTATATTTGTGTTGTCGACATTGTGACCCCTGGTTCCTATCACCACCACGCTAAAGAAATTGGTAAATTTCAGTTTCATGTTCAAGTTTCTCAGCAATGAACCATTTCATATCAAACCACTCTGAGTGACTTTGTTCACATCTCAACTATTGAATTATGCACATGTTTTTAAAATCCATGGAACTACCCTTTTATTCACTGGAAAGATTTATGGGGAAACCATGCTGTTTTGAAATGTAAAAATGTAAAATTTCTACTGGTCCACTTATCATGAAATGTTCACACAATCTAAAGAATGAGCTGCTTAAAAAATGGAGATTATTATGATGATTGTGTAGTGGCAAATTTATGCAAAATTGTCAAAAAAACTTCCACTATAGTATTGCACATTTCAAATATTGACAAAAAAATAGTCAAATGGAAAAAAGAGTTTTGTTGATATTTGTATAGCAGTGATAATGGTCCCATCACCAACATCACCAAACATTTCCAAGTGTTTTTTTTTTACATAAAATCCCTCATACAGAAACCTGTCTTATGGCATAGCAACCATCACAAATATCATAATCTTGATCATTTACAAATGAAGCCAAACTCACTTTGTTCTGCATCTCTGCTGGTGCTGGAGCTTCTTGCGTCTTCAGGGGGCTTTTTTTGGTCAGTTTCGTAGACAGGATTCTCCATACCAAGAGCATCCAGACGTTCCTTCAGAAAGCCTTTGTAGTTTTCATCAGGAACCGCATCAGAACTGCAGTTGAAGAACCCAGACAGCTGTTGTAGTGCAACCTTAGCCGCTTGCTGTTCCGCTTTTTTCTTCGTTGTGGAGCCATCTGAAGAAATTCATAGACCACGTTATGTGCATCAGAGATGGACAACAAAGAAAGAGAAGATCAACCAAGCAAAGCTATTATGGTGAATGATGACACAGACTAGTGTTCTCATGGGAACAGTGTTGACTGATTAACAATGTCATGGTTAAAATAATCAGAAAGCTTATAATGAAAGTAGACAGAACTCCATTCACCTTCATCATAAAAGGTAAAATGAAGTTTGCAGAAGTTCCTATCATTCTGTTGACTTGTGATTTCCGATGGTGGTTGAATACCACACTTAGTCAAATGTTCCAAGACCACTGTCCTGAAAGTATTACCTGTTGGATAGGAAAAACCATCAGATATTATCATGAACCATAAATTACAGATCTAACCCCTGACTAGATCTGCTACAGTTTCACTGATACCTACCAGTACCAGGATCATTCAGGCCAAACTGACGGCCTACTTTTATGTACGCTGATTCAATGGCTTCATCCTCTTTTACAAACCCATCAGAGCAAACGTCTTTGCTGAGGACCACAGTCACGGTGCCATAAAAGAGGTTGCCTGTAATGCAAAGTTTAAAATCAAAAGCTGCAAAATTAAATCTAAGGTTTATTGAGGTATATAGAGGCTGACACCTTTATAACTGTACTGTTACAGATGGAGACTTAAGATGATACAGTACTAGAAGTAAACTGATCTCTGTAAAACACACATGATCACAGATGCAGTTGCACCGTACGTTAAGTAAGTAAATTGTATTTAGAACTTCAAATCTTTAGGAAACCTGATAACTAAGGCCCAATCCCATTTCACCCCGTGCCCCTACCACTTAGCCCTTCGCCCTCTGTTTTGCGCGTTCACGTCAAGGGTTAGGGTGTCCCAATTTTTGTTGAGATAGAGGGGTGGGCGAAGTGTTAGGGCTACATAGCCCTCCAAACAGAGATTTTTCAGAGGCACTCCAAACAGAGTGTTATGAGAAAAAAGGAAAACCGGCAAGATGTCTGCGCGAGCGACCAAAGAAACCCACAAATGTGAGAATTTTCTCCATCAAAAAATTACGATAACCACTGTATTATCTTAGTTTAATGCCGTTTCAATGTATTATAGTCATTTTCTTCATAACAAGCATAAAAAAATCGCTAATAGCATGCTAATGTTTCGGTAGGTAGCTAGTTAATTTTCCCGTTCCACCTTAAATAGTCCAGCAGTATAGATACCTGAAGTGCCAGAATGTAACTGCTGCACCACTTAAGGTGGAACGGGAAAATTCGAACAAGAAGCTGGTGAATAGCTGACTTCAGCTTCGTCTCACCAAAGAATTAGCGGTGGGAGATAATAAATAATTGTCTTATACCCCTCTTTGAAAGCATATGATGCCCTAAATGTAACTAAAGCACAGCAGCGAGGTTGCTGAACCTTACTGCTTCTCTGCTATCACTGAAGACGGGCCGGGTCACCTACAGAGCACCGCTAGTAGCCTGTTAATGAAGCGTTAATGAAGCAATGTTTTATGGGTTTTTTTGTTGTTTTGTTTTTTGTTTTTTTTTATTATTATTTTTTATTTGAGGGTTGTCCCATTTCATAGGGCAAGATTTCAACCACTACCCCTTGTAACTCAGTTCCAAGGGCTTAGGGTGACACTCAAAAACAAGGGGTAGGAGTAAAAAGAAGACATGAGACTGGGCCTAAATTTTTTATTTTTTTTCAGTGTGAGGTCAAATGTAAAAGTATAAAGATTACTTAGACCAAGTGTTCCCAAAGTCAGTCCTAGGGACCCCATGCTCTGCACATTTTGTGTTTTCCCTGCCCTAGCACTCCTGAGCCACATGAGAAACTTGCTAATGAGTTCTGTGAAGTGTGCTAGATGGGGGAAAACACAAAAATGTGCACAGTGTGGGGTCCCCAGTACTGGATCTGGAACCCCCTGACTTACAGCAATACTTTACTACTTTAATGAAAAAAAAGTACATTTCTAAACACTGATTAGAACTTATGATCTGTTGCTTTCCACAATGTGTGGAAAAATGATGCATCACCTCCTCTTTGATTATGGCGCACCCTACTGGATATTTTTGTAAGAGCACATTCTCATGCAAAAGCAGATCTGTGTGTACCTGTGCGATCATCCATGTTCACTTCTCTTGGTCTGGGTGCAGGGCTGGAGTCCCGAGCCTCTGTCTTTAGCCCGACAGCAGGACAGTCTGAGGGTACTGTGGGTGGAGGCTGGACAACAGCAAGACTGTCCTTTGATTGAAGGCTAGTATTCTCTTGTCCGTGTTGTCCTGGCTGTGTGCTGGATACTGCAGAGTCACAGCAAGTTAAACATAAACAACTTTATTATTGAGTGGGAAGGAGAAGATACTCCATGTATGGGTTCGTCTTTCAAAGTGAGTTTATCTCCTTACAAAAAAAAAACAAACTTCACGTGAACGATCACATGATGATGGACACCCTACATGTTCATTTTTGCACACAAGGTGAAAAATGTGTGATTGTGCGTGACAAAAAAATGTAAAATGTGTTATCACAAGTGTAAAAAATGTGTGCTCACACGTGAGAACTTTAGGCAGATGTCTTTTACACGACGTGGGAGCCTAAAAATAAGATCTATACAACTTTTAAAAACACTCAGAAAGTGACTTCATGACATAATTTTGTTCAGAAGACTTCTTTAATGCTAGCGAAAATAACATAGGCCAGTTAAAGGACAATAACTGAAGAACTAAATGCGTATTCTTTTCCAAGAGACCAGCTGCCCTACAGAAAACACACATGATCCAGTTCAGAAAATACTTCATAAATAGCTGATAAGCTCCATAAGGTATGTGTAGACAGAACACCGTAGCTGCACTCCAAATGCTAGGCTGCAGTCTAGGTGGTCTGCATTTCTTGACTGCTTCATCATCTAAGGCAGTTCCACTAAGAAGGATTCTCAGAATACAGTTGAGAAATGCACCATACACTTTGACAGTTTTTCGAGGACACTATGTCTCATGTCATAGCAAGCATCATAAATATCATAATCGTGATAACTCACTATGTTCTGCATCTCTGCTGGTGCTGGAGCTTCTTGCGTCTTCAGGGGGCTTTTTTTGGTCAGTTTCGTAGACAGGATTCTCCATACCAAGAGCATCCAGACGTTCCTTCAGAAAGCCTTTGTAGTTTTCATCAGGAACCGCATCAGAACTGCAGTTAAAGAACCCAGACAGCTGTTGTAGTGCAACCTTAGCCGCTTGCTGTCTCCGCTTTTTTCTTCGTTGTGGAGCCATCTGAAGAAATTCATAGACCACGTTATGTGCATCAGAGATGGACAACAAAGAAAGAGAAGATCAACCAAGCAAAGCTATTATGGTGAATGATGACACAGACTAGTGTTCTCATGGGAACAGTGTTAACTGATTAACAATGTCATGGTTAAAATAATCAGAAAGCTTAACTTTATTCTGGGGAAATGAATAGCATGGCTAGTTCTCTAATAATGAAAGTAGACAGAACTCCATTCACCTTCATCATAAAAGGTAAAATGAAGTTTGCAGAAGTTCTTATCATTCTGTTGAGTTGTGATTTCCGATGGTGGTTGAATACCACACTTAGTCAAATGTTCCAAGACCACTGTCCTGAAAGTATTACCTGTTGGATAGGGAAAAACATCAGATATTATCATGAACCATAAATTACAGATCTAACCCCTGACTAGATCTGCTACAGTTTCACTGATACCTACCAGCACCAGGATCATTCAGGCCAAACTGACGGCCTAGTTTTATGTACGCTGATTCAGTGGCTTCATCCTCTTTTACAAACCCATCAGAACAAACCTCTTTGCTGAGGACCACAGTCACGGTGCCATAAAAGAGGTTGTCTGTAACGCAAAGCTGAAGATCAAAAGCTGCAAAATTGTAAAAACAGCTTGCTGTCCAGATCAAAAGTTGTGTTTTGTTGAGAAAAGAACAAGCACCGAAATCTATAATCTCCCAGCATAACGTTATCTTTACACAGATAAAGTTACATTTGTAACAGATTTAAACAAGGAGACACTGAAATCATACAATCACAATTTCAGATTTTGAGAATAAGACTATCAATCTCAATTTCAATAATGTAGGAAAGACATGTTACTTGTAGATGATGTAGTAGATATCAATGATGGAATGGCTGCAGATGTTGATGCCTCTTCTGTGTCCTCAAACTCAGATTGGAGTTGACCCAGAGCTATCTTGGCAACCTCTTGGTGAGCTCTCCTTTTGTTATTACACACCTGTAAACCAGTAAAGGTGCGTCCATTCACCACCACTCGACCTCTATAACCTGTAAAGACATTAAGTGGAACTTTAAACTGTGAGGAGACATTATGGACATGTTCACGCTACATGACAAATTACCTACCATGATAAAAACAGTGAGAGGAAACAAGTATTCAGCCATTTTTGTTTTAGTTAGACTGTAAAGTCCTGTTTAATCCAACTTATTATGCTATCAGCAGCTAAGTTAAATAAAACCTAACTAGTTATGTAACTAATCTTAATGTTTTTCATGTTTTTTGATTTTTATACAGTATATTCAGTCACCCAGTATTAACAGTATTAGCTCAACAGTCATTATCCAAGACTTATATATATATATATATATATATATATATATATATATATATACACACACACACACAAGTATTGGACAATGACTGTTAAGCTAATACTGTTAATGTATTTATTCTAATATTTGTGTATTTCTGAGCAAATAAATACTTACTGCTCAGTAAATAGCTTTCGAAATACAATATTTCTCAGGTGACTAACAGTTTTGTGCAGTATTATATAGACAGTGTGTAATGTTTCGTTTTTAAACATATATTTGTTTATGCTTATTAAAAGGTGTTTTATTTATTCATTATTAAAGGTGTTTTAATTATTTACTGGCATCTTAATTATTTACTGGTTTAACTGTTTACTTAATTATTAAAATGTGTTTTCATTCTTAATTAAAACATCTTTAAATGTACACAAACTCCTTAGTCCTTGCAATAAATATACATTAAATATAATGGAAGTAACTGAATTCTTACCACTGGCTTCAAGTTCTTCTGTAAATAGAGGTTCTGGCCATTTCCTTTTCCGAGCCTGTTCGATCAGATGATTCTTAAACTTGAGTGGATCATCACTGAACATTGGGTCTGTAGATCACAATCAGCTGAATATAAGAGCCTAAATACAAACAAACCGTTTCTATTTGTGGCATCTATCAGATTCTGGGTTACTGAAAAAGTGTTACCCATCTTTTAAATTGCCTTCCTGTCTTCTTTGCATTTGTTAGTAGTGTACCATCAGTGTTACCACCATAAACACCAAATTTATTGGTTGGGATTAAACTGAAGTTATGATTAGCTGGAATTAAGATGAATTGGAAAAAAAATTCTGATCAAACAGAAATCTGTCATGATATCATCTATCCTTGACAATTTGCATGTTTCTGTGTAGCATTGAGCCTTATTTCTACCTTATTTATTGATTTTTTTCACCTACCGTGTGTAACCTTCTCCAGATTTTCAACCCTGTTACTCAGATTGTCAATCTGGAACTCATGCTTCTCCACTGTCTCCTGTATCTCATTTAGTTGGGTCACCTGAGGCCTCAGGCTCTCCAGGAGATCTTTGTTTTGGTCCAGGAAATTCTTTATACCCTGCAGTTCTCCCTGAACACACCATGCAAATTTGTTGGTACAAAAATCTATTGTTAAGTATGCCAACTTTTAATGAAACAGGCACTTTAGGCTTACTTTAATTTCTGTTTGTTGGTCTGCTTTATAACGTTGGGCCAGGAATTCAATCCTCTCCTTCAGGGCCTGCTGTTCTCTATCCAGCAGCTTCAGATTTTCTGTCTTTAAATCCACTTGGGAAATTTGATCAGGATAATTTTCCAAAACTGTATCAAACTATACAATACAAAATAAACTTTTAAAAGTTTCAGCTGCACCATTACACAGTATTTTAAGATACTAGATATGCCATAATCTGGAGTATATAAACATGTTAGTGGTCTTCACAAAATAAATCTCTTTCTCTCTATAATTCTATGTACCTGCTTTATCTCCTCTGATATGGTCTCATGCAGTTTAGGTATGCAGGTCTCTAGAAGCTTTGCCAGCATCAGAACATTATTTCTGCCACCATCCATCTTTTCCTTGTTCAGCCTTAATTCAGGGGAATGCATCACCATATTCCTCACGCTGATGACCTTCATCCCACAGAAAAAAACACACGGAACATAAGCTTCATAGAGCCATCAAGGTATATGAAATAAGACAGCTTAACATGAATCAGAAAAAAGAATATGATGCATTAGACTTTGTTTTAAAAATACATATACATACAGAAATGAAAACCAAAGACACAGAAAGAGCAAGTTCTTAAAGTGGAATCTCTTCAGCATAATTCAGTTGGTGACAAAGTTATACAGAGTAGTCTGAGGTGAGGTGATGCATTGTAGAGAAACCTGCTGACTTTACAATAGTGATGACAGGAACCAGGTTTTGTGATGTCTACTACACAAATATACCAGGGGTTCAACTATTTTTTTTTCCTTCATTTAATTTTTTTTGTTTTTTGATAAAGCTTTACTGAAATAAGGCAATGAAAAAAACACCCCTCATGATCCTTTCATGGAAAGTTACATTAAAATGGTAAAATGTGGGAACTTGCCCAATCTGGCAACCAGCTCTGTCTGAACAGCAGTGAGTGGTGCAGGAAAGCAGAGTTAAGACCAGTATTGTTGCCTCAAATTGCTCGACCGTCGTGAACAATTCTGATTCAGATTCTCTTGAATGGTGCACTTCACATCAAACCACTCTTAATGGCTTTGTTAACACTGTACATAAGTGGATTTTCCTTAGAAGGATTTAAAGGCGTTCAGTAGGTTTACCTTGGTCAGGAGCTGGCCTTGATGAAACTTTTTAAAATGTTTGCAGTTAGCCATGAAGTTCAGAATAGCAGCAATATCAAACTGGTCAAAACAGCGATGCTCACGTTGTCCACCTGGCATATACACCTAAGGTCATAATTGAAATAAAGTGAAATCGATACAAAGTAAACTGTGCCGAATCCCAGAATGGGATCATGAGTTAACTCTGTTCACTAAGCAAGAAAAAAACGTCAAAGAATAAACAATAATAATAATGACAGAATGAGAATGAACTGGTGCCCCCATAGCTCACCTTGGCCACTTCCCATATTTCTGTTGGCCAGCGATGTGGCTCAACGTTTTTCCAGTGTATCTCAGCACCCTTTCCAAGACGACTCTGCAAGATCTCTTTTTTCCACCGCTCACACTTCTCACATAAAGGTGACTGTGGACAGCAACATTTCCAACACACAACAGATCTATAACTCAATTATTATTTTAGAGTTTATTCAGAGGGAGTAGTGTTGTAGTTGTAGTGTGTTCACAAAACGTGTGCATTTTATTTTCTGGTTTATTGATTCTTTTTCATTTATTCTGAAGGTTATTTGGCTAAGGACTCTTAATGTGAAGGTGGGGCTAGTTTGCCTTCGGTGGATGTGTGTTGTAGAACAGGAAAAACTGTGAGTCAGTCAGATCTGGGAGCTGAGAAAGTTCAGATCTGAGTCCAGAGCTGAGGCTTAGAGCGAGTTGTTAAGAGAAAATCCTGCTAATGTATGGTGTGGCTGTGGCCGACAACAGCTGGTTAATAAAGCACTATGACTTTGTCTCTGAAGCTGCGTCTCCTTCAATAATGGTGACGCTATATTACATTTACATCCACTCAAATACAGCCACTCTTTACTCGGTTTGGCTGTTTCAGCACATGGGTTGCTTTGTTGTTGCTCACAACTCTCAAGTTCAGACTTCAGCAACATATTTTAGACCAAAAGCATCCCAAACCTCACATCCCATACTGATGGAATCTGGGTGTATACGTTCCACTGCTGTTCTACAAACTCAGTACTTGAGAAGTGTTTTGAGCTGATACCTCCTGAAGTTATATCTTTACTCATACTCAAGTGGTTTGGTAGCCACTTTTACTTCTATTTATGCCACTAATTTATTTAAAGATACTTCTACTGCCTCACTTGGTGTAAGGCTACTTTAGCTGTATCATCATACTAAATCCACACAGATATCGTCTGATAGCACAGTTAACCATGCAACTATTTTTGACATACACACTTAGATGGTTCTTTAATGCAGGAACTTAATGTATCTAGAACCCTGTCTTCTATATACAACCATTTCATGGTGAAATGGTTCTTCAGATGGAGAATGTATATGGTTTTATATAGAACCTTTATGATAAAGCTTCTATATAGCACCAAAAAGGGTTCTGCTGTTGTTACATCAAGCTTGTAACAATGGAAGAATAATTTTTGGTGCTGTACAGAACCACAGCACTTTCTCCATCACTCTGAAGACCAATTTCACCATGCAAACAGCCACTTAAGCATAAAACGTCTCTATATAGAACTCATGGTTCTAAAAAGAACCATTTTCTTTATTAAAGAACCCTTGAAGAACCATCTTTTTTAAGTGTGTACCAAAGTCACATCTTAATCAGTGGGTCATCAGTAATATATATGAACGTGTAGCCTAATGTAGTTTATCTGTATGTGTTATAATGACCTGTAGCAGTAAAATCTCAGTCGTTGTTATGTTGGTGAATGAATGCAGGGCTAACATGCTAATATGTACAGGCCTGATGACAAACACTGTTCAGTAAATGTGAATCCGCTCGCTTTTCCTTTACGGTTTACCTTTTTGCAGTTTTTCACGCAGATCTCCCCCTTCAGCGTTTCCCGAAGAGAGCGGTGGTAAGTTTCGGTTTCATCTTCGACGAAACGGCGAATGTTGTTCCTCAGTATGTAGAGACTCTCCGCGGTTTTCAGCCAGTTCTTGTAGTTCTCGTCACTGAAGCGCTGGTAGGAGTCCATGCTGGGAAGGATTCCGCCTTAACAATCCTATGTAAGGTTTCTTAAAGTCTTCTTTTTCTGTTAGAGCTGCTGGAGTGCGGCCCAACCCAGCGGCAGTGTCAGTGTCAGGAGTGCTGGAAGCCCAGCTGACGTCGAGGGTTGCCAGATTGTGACAGTGGTTAAAGGGGAGTTCCACCGATTTTTCGGATTTCCTCCCTAATTAAATGGTACAGATATAAATAAAGTCATTCAGAGTGGTTTGATGTGAAAAGCTGCATAGTAGAGAAAACTGCCGACTTAGATTTTGTTCCAGTGGTGGTGACAGGAACCAGACGTCTAGAGTTTAAAGCCTCTAAAAGCTTCCCTCGCAAGTTACTACATGAACTGGGATATAGATTTTGTCTAAAAAGTATTTTTTAAAAATCAATTCATAATGGATAAAAAGAAAAAAAAAAGCCATATAATTATGACTTTGTGTCATCTAATTATGATTATTAATTATGAGAGGCTAAGTCACAATTATAAGAAAGTATGTCATAATTATGAGATGGTAAGTCATAATTATGAGATGGTAAGTCATAATTATGAGACACTACATTGTAATTATGAGATACTATGTCATAATTATGGGAAACTCTCATATTAAGACTTACTAAATGGCTATATATATTTTCCAGTAGCAGAAACAGGCTTCCATAATTTTATCATTGTTCTCCCTTTTCCAAATGTCCAGTATACTGTACATTTTTTTCCCCAGGTATTTTAGAAGCAGGTGCATCACCAAACTCACTTTTAAGAGTTTCTAAAGAACTCATTTTTGTATTAGTTGAACATTTAGTAGAATGTTTTCTTTTTTATCTGGTCATAAACAAAAACAAACATGGCAGCTGGTGAGACAGACACCTCCTCCAAGACTAGAAACATTTCTAAATGATCCTGTATTTATTTTAGGAATGTTTATTATATATGTCCTCCTAGAAAGTCCCTCTTGTGAAAAGTAAAAAAAGAAATAGTAGATTTTTATTTCTACATACACAAATTTTTAGATAAAGTTTGATGTCCAGTAATCTGGGTGTTTGGACTCAGTGACTTTTCACTGACTTTGCAAGATGGTGAGCCGTTCCAAAGTGACTGAAACCCTCCGGCAGCAGGTTGTCCAGATGAAGGCCAAAGGTGTGACCCTATCAGCCATAGCAAGAGAAGTTGGTCGTTCCAAGTCTGTGATTTCTAGATTATTGCATCTTTACAACATCACAAACTCATTCAAGTCCACCAAGAAGGCTGGTCGCCCACGAAAGACAAATGCAAGAGAGGACAGGATAATGCAGAGAACCTCCATGGGTAATCGGTTCAACACTGCAGCTGGAATTGCTCGCCAGTTCAGCACTGAACAGGGTAAGGAAGTGTCTCGTCATACAGTGGCTCGGCGTTTAAGAGCATTTGGACTGAAAGCCCACAAAGAATCAAAAGGCTAGACTAACCTTTGCTGAGGAGCATGTTGTGTGGTCAGAGGAGAAGTGGTCCAGAGTTCACTTCAGTGATGAAAGCAAGTCTAATTTATTTGGGTCTGATGGGAAACATTATGTTCGTCGACAAACTGGGGAAAGACTGAACCCAAAGTGTGTAAAGAAGTCAGTGAAAGGTGGAGGAGGAAGTGTCATGGTTTGGGGAATGTTTTCGGCAGCAGGAATTGGACCTCTCATACAGCTACATGGCAGAGCGAATGCAAGTGTGTATCAGAACCTTCTTCAACAACACGTGGTTCGTTCCTTGCATTCATCACTCAATCAGCCAGCAATTTTCATGCAGGACAATGCCCCCTGTCACACAGCAAAACGGGTAAAGCAGTTCCTTGAAACTGAAAACATTGAAACAATGAAATGCCCAGGCCAGAGTCCTGATCTAAACCCAACAGAAAACCTCTGGAAAATCCTCGGTGACAAAGTTATGGTCAAAAAACCCACAACAGTCACTGAACTGTTGAAGAGACTGCAAGAAGAGTGGACCAAAATCACACCAGAGCAGTGTGAGAGACTAGTGATGTCCTGTGGCCGCAGATGTGCTGAAGTCATTCAAAGCAACGGCCTGTACACTTCCTACTGATTGGTGACTGTTGTAACCTTCAGAAAATTTTGTTGTAATCTTTCTCTGTGCTACAGTCATTGCTGTTCTCTAATTTTAATCATTGTGTTTTCTGCAAAATAAAGGTTTTATGTTAAGGTACCTTGGTTCTTTTGTAAAACACTGTTCTAGTGGCACTGGTCTAGTGTTTTAGTATACCCCTAACAAAAAATACTTCAAATGTTGACCAACGAAGATTACATTATTTCTGATCATAAATTGTTCTCTAATTTTGATCTCCAGTGTATACACACACACACACACACACACACACACACACATATATATATATATATATATATTATTTTTTTTTATTATTATTATTATTATTTCATTGGATTTCACTGTCCAGTATACTGGACGTTGGAGTGAGGCACATCAAATCTGCAACATCTGCAATAAAACATTTCCTGTGTTTTTTTTCAAAACATTATTTCTATCTATGTCACAGGGTCACATGTGTAATATTACAAATTAATCTATGTAATATAGCTTATGGAAATGTTTTCTGACTTATTTATTTCTGACTTATTTTCATCAGTGAACAGTGTTTTAACCATTTGTTCACTGCAGATATAGTAATGTAAATAGTGTATATGCTTTGTTTAAAAAAGTTCTTTGTTTATTATTATGGCGCTAAAATTACTATGGAAATTATTTAATATTTTAGGAGCTGTTCATGCAGAAGTCCAGGTAGTTTCAAGAGTTCAGTAACATTTTTGTGCTTATTTGTTTATTTTTAGGATCTCCATTAGCCGCTATCACGATATCCGCTATTCTTCCTGGGGTCCAATAGATGTGTGTACATACATACTGTGCACACAGAGAACACAGAAAAAATTCAGTGCTTGTTTTGTGCCTTGTTGTTATGGTGACAATAAATATGTGCATTTTTTTAAAGCAACTAAGTCCAATTGTCCAGTGTACTGGGCACCAAATATTACATGTTTCGTATTAAACAAACAAACAAAAAAATCATGTATTATATCATTTGTTAAGCAACTGGGAAAATGTTTTATACAAAAAAAATATATATTTTTAAAGTATCAAGTCTCAGGACTGAGGAGCATATTTGCATCTTAACACCACATCAAACCACTCTAATGCCTTTGTTTACATCTCAGCTACCGAATTATGGATTTTACCCATAAGCTAAAAACTGCATAAATGTATAGTTCAGGAGAGGCTTTGTGAGTCAAACAGTTAAACTGTGACTTTGGATTCTCACGTCACGGTTTAACTGTTTGAGACTGTTAAGGGTACAGCCAGCCAAAGCATGTGACATAATTGTGGCTTGTGCTGCACAATATAGCCACGATTAGGAAGGAGGGATCCCCACCAGTGAAGCCACAGCCCCCTTATTTGGTGGATCGTGTCACTATGGACCCACCAGAGCGCAAGACTGTGAGGCCATTGCTCAGCTATTGTTTAGCTGTTAATAAAAATGTTATATAAAAACCACACAGGCTTACCTCCTTATTTATTCAGATACAGAGTGGTCTGCTTTATTGTCGAATAGTAAAGGAGTTTCTAAAGAGATTTGGACCAGACTTGTACACTTTAAAATTATGAATAGACGTTACTGGACACCATCAAAACCATTTAAAGCTAACTTAAAAGACAGCCCAAGCTGGTGGAAATATCAGTTAGATGGGACGTTCATGCACGTATTTTGGAGTTGCCCAGTAGTGTATGGTTTTTGGTGTCAGATTCATTATTGTATAGAGAAGATAACAAATTATCGGGTTCCCTTTACCCCTCAACTGTATATTTTAAGTAACACTCTGTGATCAAAATGCTACTCCCAGCGAGTTCATTCAGCTATAATAGTAGGAAAGAGGCTTCTGGTGCAAGAATGGAAGGGAGACAAGGCTCTTTGACTAAAAGAATCACACCATGAGCAGCATTGCAGGCTATGAAAGACTGGCTTACAGAGTAATTAACAAACCATTAACAAACCAGTGTCATATTTTAAAAAAATGGAACAGATACTTCAGACATATTGAGGCCCTGTGAAATTAACCGAGACCTCTTGGAAAAACATAAGTACATAATTTTGTTGGATCTCACCTCATTTTTCCTTTGAAATTATGTTGTTATAGTTAGAGAATCACATCTCCTCCCCTAATTATTCCATTTTTCTTTCTTGTTTTTCCCAGTGCCACTGTGTTTTGGTTGTACACATCAGAATTTGTGGTAGACCATTTTACTCTCAAAGGCCTCTTAGGCCTAGTCCACACGTACATGGGTATGTCAAAACGGACATTTTCCTGTCCACACCAACACTGTTTTTAAAAATATCCATCCACATAAAAACGCAAAAACACAGCAGCTCACTCAATGACAACAGACAAAAGAAAATTCTCTTGCCATTCCTTTGCAACAACTACTTAGTTTCCAAAATTGTCCCACCAACAAGAGATCCGACCGGGTCTTGTACCAAACTAGCGATGTTGGTCTGTGCCAGCCGAGAGCCGAGTATAACAGAGACCTCCGTAGTGCCTTCTGAATCCTCTGTTGCTCAGTGGCGCACACTCTGACGAACAAAGGAGATAACAGTGTACATTCTTGACGTTTCAAGCCAAAAACTTGACAACACTGAAAATGAAGTTTCTGAATATCTTTACCCTGGAAGGAATTTTGCAAAAGGTCCGTTTTCAGTTATCTAAGACGCAGTTTGGGTGTGGACAAAATGCCAAAATGCATAGAAAAAGCTGTGCTTTAAATGTACCCGTGGACGTGTGGACAAGGGCTCAGAACACACAGAGACAGTCTCTTCATTATGGCCGTTATCAGCAGCAGCTGCAGCAGGATCAACAAATAATTTGGAAAATTTTATTCTGTACAACATTGGCTACATTCACTGCATTGCATACTTATGAGTCACTGTAGCTCCCCAGCAAACACAGTTACGTTGACAATTGTTTTGGTGCCCACAGCGTTGTCACAAAGCTGAAATGTAATTCCTCAGAAAGTTGTGGCAACGTTATCTGACAACATTGTGACAACGTTGTAAATATGTTGTCACAA